AAATTTGATCTCCCTCATAAGTGGGCTAATACTCATCATACGGTAGAACTGGAAAGCTTGTGTTATAAACCCCAAATAAGTTTGTCACCTTGTAAATGCCATACAATAGAAGATATGCGTCTTGGCGCACCAAGGAACATGCAGCGATAACATGTGAACAAAGAACCAGTATGCTTGAAACTTTCCGCAATCACACCAACCATCTATTAGGTTGACCTTGTAACGTTCTAATGGTTTCCCCTCACCATGGTCAATTGTATCCTTCACACTAAAAGTGTTATTATTGTAGTAAAAAATGTTTAGCTTATGCATGGCGGATTTTGATGTTTCTTCTTCATCACTTTCACGCACCGCTCTGTAAATGTTTGTCCAGAATTCAAAATTGCACTCCACTTTGCACCCCTTTCAGCAAAGAGAGTTCCCATCCTATAGTATATTGCACGTACCAACACTTTATGTGAAATATGGCAGCCAAAAACACACATATTCCATCTTCCTATCGGTGAATCCACTGTCACACTTGAAGATATTTACATGTTAATGGGTTTACGTGTAAAGGGTATGACAATGAATGGGAGAACAAATGTCAACTACATAACTCAAGAACTCTCGGGTGAAGAATTGTTCGAAAGAGATAGAAATGGCCAATTCGTTAAAATGACCTGCCTCTGGGAAAAATACGATGCATTTAATTTAAACGAAGATTCCACCATTGACCAAATTTATAAGAACACTAGAATTTATATTTTATTGCTTTTCGCTAGTTTATTATTTCCTGACACTATGGTAACACAATACATCTTATATATTTACCATTATTAGTTGACTTTAATAAAATAGGTAGATATAGTTGGGGATCTGAAGTTTTATCGCATCTATACCGAAACCTGTGTAGATGCGCTAAAAATAAATTCATAATTTTACCAATTGTTCAACAATACTACGGGCTTAGGGATGGTCAAAGGTGCTGAATCTAGCGCCTAAAAATCGTAATCCATTTCACTTTCCATATGCAACCAAGTAAGTTGAAACTACTCTATTTTCTTAAACTTATTTACTATGTGAACAAATTGGACTTTCATCGATCATTTCGAAGAAGCTGATGTAATATTCTCAACCATAGATTACTAATAATTACTATTATTTTATATAGTTCGTTAAACTAATAACTAATTTTTTATAACAGTTTACGTGGAGGCCTTATCTAGGACTTGAAGATATGGATCCAACTGATAGTCACGTGTGGCGTTCAAAAACATTTCTTATTTGTTTTACTACAGTTGAAATGCATCATACAGATAGGGTAAAACTCCAATTTGACATTCTGTAAGGTATACCGGATGCTCCAAAGTGCATGGAGGAGTATTACAAAAGTGTGATGAACGACCGATGGGCATATAACAATTGGAAAGACAATTAAAAACAAGAGCATCGTCAATGGCATAACCGCAAATATAAAGTCTCATAAGGAGATATCATGTTAGAAGAATGTAAATCGAGTAAGGAATGCATAGACTGGTATAAATCTGTTACAAATTTATATATGTCACCAAATAGCTTCTTATTTGACCCTCGTAACCAACCAACATCTTCAAACGTCCAACACATCAGACCATCGTCAAGCACTTACACCCAACAACCATTCATGAGCAACCAAGAAGCTTTCTTTAACATCCAACAACCTTTCATCCCAACACAAGCACCTGTTACCCCAAGCGAACGATACCATCAACAAAACTCTTCATCTAACCTCATCCAATGGGACACCCAACAACAATATTATTCATCTAACCCCATCCAATGAGACACCCAACAATAATATTCCTATTTTATCCAGTCTACATCAAACAGTCTACCACAAACATCATTAACACTACAAATCCCACATGACCCCAACTTCCAAACACCACAACAACAAATGCCTATTTCCCAACCACAACAATTTATCTCACAAGATTGTTACCAACCCTTAGTAAATAGTCCAATGCCTACTAATATCCTACCAAATTGGAATTGGAAGAAAACCAGATTAAATTATGGCAGTGCAGCAGAGACAGACTATACCAATGATGAAATGATTGAGAAATTTTTAATTGGTGGATGTGACGCAGGACCTTCAACTTAACCGCAAAATAAAGAAGAAAATCGCAGAATAGATCAACGTACCAGACAAGCTCCTCCTTGTGAAACTCACCAACGATTGACACGACTCAGTCAAAATCCACAATAGATGTGTTTTCTTGTAATTTTTTCAAATGTTATTTTAATTTAATAAATTAAATATTATTGTTTTAAATTATATTTTATTTTAATTATTATTTCTTTTTTCAATTAAGTCAAACTTAATTATAGTATAATTATATATTTAAATATAATTAAACTATATATATATATATATATATATATATATATATATATATATATATATATATATATATATATATATATATATATATATATATATATATATATATATATATATATATTCAAATAAATTTATTTAAAAAATATTTAAAAAAAATATATGTTACAATACTTCCGTCTATTAGATGGACAATAGACGGACGACCCTCTTCAATTTCCAACAGTTTCGTCCATTATTTTTGCTGATCTCAAATATTTTGTGTTATTCTGCCTATTCAATTAATAGTTGCTTTGTACCAATAATAAAATTTATTTAAAAATATAGTAGTTTGATATTATTAAGCGAAGAATGTGATATATTAGAAATTATTGTCTAAAAATATGGCAGGACAATAAAAATTATATTATGACTCAGATTGATAGATTGAGACAGAACAGGACAACGTACACTCACGCCAGATCACTGATTGCCATCATATGCAACTCTCTTGACACTTTTGTTTTGTGCTAAAACAGAAATAGATTTAATTTATAAAAAAATAACAGAAACAACAGTTATTTTCATTTTCTTTTCTTTATTTTTAAATTTATATTTGTGTGTGGAGGGGAGGACATTGATGTAGGCAGCAGCCACTATTAGCTCCTGCTGCACACAAACAACAGTTCCAAGCAGCCAAGCATTGTAGTGATATCACATCAAAGACTCTAGGACAACCTTAATCCAACTGAAAGAAACACAACACTAACAACACAGTTAAAGATTGATGCTAACAATACACATGATGAGCAAAATAAGTATCACGGTTTTTTATTATACATTAAATAAAAACATAAATTTGGCTTTTAATGGAAAACATGAGTCATTATTAGTGTTATTCTTGCGTTTTCTACTAAACAGTAAACACTACTCTCTCGCTTATTTTTATAAATCTGAGGAAAAAATTATACTTTTATCATATCTTTAATTACTAATTATTATCTCTTATTTCAATTATTTAAAATAAAAATTTCATGCAATAAATTAAGGATAATATTCTTAAAAAGTTTATAATTTCTTTTTCCATATAATAAGGATTATTTTTCTTAATTTATGTGAAAAGTTTAAAACGATTTATAGTAATAAAAACTGAGGGAGTGTTTCATTCAATTTATTTTAACAATCTTTGTACAATAATGTTTATTCTGTTAAGTTATACAAAAAATTTAAATAACTTTTATGACATAAGAGAATAATATATTTTCATTAAACTTTAGAAAATATAATTACTTTGTTTAAGACTGGATTAATATCATAATCATCTTTAAATATTACAATTAAACTAAGATTCACTAGAACTTTATAAAATATTTGTTACGATCGAATTGTGGTAAATAAAACCATTATTAGTTTTGTCATACTTAAACTGATAATAATTTAAAGATGATCATCAAAAACATAAACGACTCAAATTGTTATCAACGAGATTGAATTGTGGTAAATAAAATCATTATTAGTTTTGTCATACTTAAACTGATAATAATTTAAAGATGATCATCAAAAACATAAACGACTCAAATTGTTATCAACGAGATGGTAATGCTTATGTCCATTTAATTCAACAAACCTTCTTAGTTTTGTGAGAGTTTCTAACCCGTTCAAGTATATTTAAATTGACGGTGGATACAATTGATCCTAATATAATTGAATTTGATAAAATTGATTTTATCATAATTGAATTTAACATAATTGATCATTGATTTATGTAGATACATTTATGTAAAAATGAGTTGAACAATAAATTTCAGTATAAACATCATCCAGAATCAATTCTAGAGACAGAAGCTACAAATTCTAACTTCAAATAGAATCAATTCTAAAAACAGAATCAATTCTACTTTTGTCTTACCAAACATCTCAAAATCATCCAGAATGAATTCTACCTCTCTAGAATTGTTTTTGACTCTTCCAAAAACTAAACCAAACATGCACTTCGTCTTCCTATTAAAGAAATAGTACTAGTGCAGCCTCAGAGGTCATCAGATTAAATTAGGCAAATTTATTTTTCTTCTAAATGACTTAAACTACACGTATGTCCCCTAATCCAACTACCTTTTGAGCCATCATGATCAATCCAACTCACAATTAATAGTTATCTCAGTGATTTTCCGTTTATAGGCCACCATTGAAAGGGCTAGGAAATGGAAAGGTGCTGAAATTTTATGAATACATTAATTGAATTTTGAAGTTCAAATAATGTGAGGGTTAAAAATCCTCTTATTTCTTAAAATAAATGGAGGATTCTGTTTAGAAAGATAAGTACAAAAAGGTTATAAAAACAAGTCTCACATAAAATGTTGGGAACCTCGAACATCTTATCAATTTTGTCTGCCGCCAATCCAAACACAATAAGTATTTTCATTTCCAATTACCTCATGCATCAACTCAAGCTTAAGTTTGAGATTTGAGAGTCACACATTCAATGAGATATGATCTAAAAATATGTATATATAAGTGAAAGACATTGTTCACCTTACAAATCGGTTTCGTATCGTAGGGTTGAGTTTCGTATGGTAGGGTTGAATTAGACCAAAGCCAAATTTTAATAACGATTAGATAAACATAAACATAACACCAAATGTGTCTAGTTTTGGTTCATTCAGAGCTTTGCAATCAGCTCATTCTGAATAGGCTTACCAATTTCCTTATCATCCAAATCACCTGAACTTGGAGGAACATCTATAGCTGGGGAGCAATTGAAAAACCCATGTGGCTGCATTATGAATAGCATGACTAAATTAATTCCAACTCTATTATCAACATAAAATCAATATCAGTTTCTAACCAAACAGCAATTGCTTCGACGTGTTTTCGTATAAATTTAACTCGTTTTCAGAAGTTATCCTAAAGAACTTATGAAAATAAGCCAGTTTCATAAACTCTCAAACAGTCTCAGAAATGTTTATTATGCTACTAGAAAAATTCAAATAAGTCAATACAAAAGGCCGTATTCCTAACTTATTAAGTTATTGAGGTTTATCAAATTAGAAAATCAACTCTAACTTTGGCACATATACTCTTGAAATCTCATTTGAAATCTGCACATAAAGAATGGAAATGAAATAAGCTAAAGTTGAGTTGAATACCATAAGTGTAAAACCAATGCGTTCAACCGGCATAACAGGCCAGTCTTCTAATCGTGGAATGAATGTCACTCCAAATACATACCTGCAACGTTAAATTGTTTACGCCAATGCATAGTTATTAAACTCTATTTGAGAACATGCAAAATTTATAGACTCTCGCAGAAACAGAATATAGTAAACTAACCAAAGAACTATATCAGCTTCTTCCAATGATCTATTTTCCTTAACCCAAGTGGCCAAACCCTCTCCAACACGCGGATTTTGATTAGGGAACTCTCCTCCAGGATGCATTTCATTGTGAACATAAGGAGTCACCCAAAGATTGTGTTTCAAGAAAGCTGCTCTCCGTAGAAACATGGCTTCCGGACCAGCTAAAGGTAAACAATTTGAACCAGGTACTAGCCTGTAACCTGTTAACTGCCCAGTTCGGGTTACAGTCCGTGTGTTTCTAACCTGAAACACAGAATCCACTTCAGAAACCGTGGATGTTGCAAGCTATTAAAAGAGCTTTTCAAGTTTTTATTTTTATTTTTTTGTAAACGAATGGAAAAAAACATACAATCCAATGTCGAGCAGATAAAGGGTTGCAATCACGCATTGCTTCCAATTCTGATTTAAGCAGTTTTTCCTCGGCATAGAATGCATTGTGGTGAACATTATTCTGTCCTGGATCTTCAACTTTAACATCCACCTCAACAACCTGAGTAGAGAAAGGTTTGACACTTAAACTACGGGTCAATCAAAATATTCCTTCTGAAAAATATAATCGCACACTGACCTGATTAAACGCTTCACCAGGCTTGCAATCAACAGCCATGTTCATACGAGCAACAAAAAAGTGTTGGTGGACAGGAGCATACAATCCAGGTGCAATAGTTGTGCCATATTTCCGAGTTTCACCTGGTTGCATCACTCCTAAGCTTAGAATTCCTGTGATCTTGACCTCGGATTCTATTTTCCCGTCCTAAAAGAAGATAACCAATTAATATGCTTAAAATTGAACATTGAAAATTGTTGGAATTAAACAAATATAAGTGAATCCAGAATATATCTTGCCTGATAAAAGTACCAGAAAAATCCATATTCATAGTTTGCTACGGTGCATATAAACGACACTGCCAACCTTCTAGACCTCCGAACTTCAGCCAAACCCGTTCTCCAATCTTGATGCTTCCACAAAATACCATGATCCTCTTCATGCATGCAAACACAATTCTCTATTGTTTCTACGCCTCCGGTAAAGTTTGTGAAGTGAGCATCAAAGTACTTGATATAGCCTAAACAATCACAACCCTGTAATAATTATATCATGTAAAAATAACTTTAATTTCATCTATATTGAGAGAATGGAGACTAATAAGTTATGAAAGTTTGGACAAAAAATAAAATGCCTTGACCTTCTTGAGAGACTGAGCATTTTTACCAAGGCCGTCTTCGCCAGCATCAAATGCATTCTTCCTATAGTGAGGATCGTTTGGATCTCCGTACGGGACCACCATCTCAACAAAACTCAACCTGTGTGCCACTGGCCTTCGCCCTTGACTTCCATCAATATAGGCTACTGAATAAATAACCAAACCTTCCCTTGGAGTGAAACCAATACGAAAGTTCCACTGCAAGAAAAAGTCATCCATTTTTACAAGTTTACAGTAAGCATTTTTCACGTTCAAAGATGTTAATATGAAATCAGTATTTAAGTTGGCTAATATATTATACCGGACTTTCAAAAAGGTCAGGTCAGACCTAAAACAAGCCTATGATGGGTAATAGATAGGCTTGGACCTTGAATGTTTTGAATAGATCATGCATATTTATACAAAGCCTAGTTTGGCTCGGCATATTCACACCTATAAATACAGATAAACAACCACCTTCTGCCATTGAATGAAATGGCCATTGACACGAAAGCTTGGACCTTCGGGCTGAATAATCTGTAAGGGTTTCACATCACTTCTATCCACTCCTCCCCGGGTTTCACCAGAAGTATAATTCCTAAGCGGATCAATAGGTGGGAGAGGGATTAGTTTACGGTCTTCAAACTCAAGAATAACCATATTTTGCATGTCAACAAGTACATAGATTCCTTCAACAGGACGGGCATAGCCGTTTTCCATAGGGCAATCACTCTCACATCTACAAAAAATTAGTGGTTTAGCTAGCCTGCGGTTCGGAGCATCAGCTTCACTATGATATCCGACACACCTGCAAGTTTCAGCATCTTACGTATTAGAGAGAATAAGTTATTTATGAAATATTTCTCATAAAAGTTAAAAGTTCGTTCAAAAAATTTCAAAGGAGCAACTACCAGGCGTCCACCATTACAAGATCCATATCCTCAATCCCTCTTCTTTTCATTGCTTCTCGAAATGGAGGGAAGTCCTTCACAACAGCTTCACATTCAGCATACTCTACAGCGTCCTGCATGTGTAGAGAAAATAACACATGCCTAAGTTGATATGAAACTCATTAATTTAAAGACTAATGGATGTAAGAAAACAACAATAGTAAGTACTTACCATTGGTGGCTGAACATTTGGTACAACTTCAGAAGAAATGACTTTGCCTCTGTGTTGGCCACCTCGAGTTGCTGCATGAACTTCTCGAAGTTCAACAATCCATACGCTTGTCTCATTTGACCTTTTATTGTAAACAACTAGCCGTGCTTTCCTATTGGGAAGTTTGGCAGGAATCAAAGGTCCTCCTCCTTTGGTTCTAGGGAGCAACGATGGCTGGAAAGGAGGGAAGAAATATGCATCTGCCAATGCAACAACTTGCTTAGCCGGTTCTACCAACACTACTTCGACAAAGCGCATGCTATCCCTCACCTAATAAGATACTCAAGTAATATCATCATACAAAAACGACGATTCAAAGAGGTTACCGGCAAAGTAAAACATAAATGTAAACTTAATTTAGATTGAAAAAGTCAATTGAGCAGTCTACCTCAGGAGTTGCCCCGGCTGCCCTAACAGATGAGACAGCTACTGATATTTCAGCGGCAGATAGTGGATCTAGAGGATGACAGGTCTGAGCTCTCATCATAACCGGGATACCTAAACCAGAAAGTAATCAAAACAAGATAATTTGACAGAAAATACTAACACGAATAAAAGGCCAACAAAAATAGGATTAGATGCAAAGTAGTTGTGTGCTTGAGATATTAAACTAAACCAAACATGTGCCTTCACCTAACACTAACAATTTAACTTAACCTTCTGAGTCTCTCTACAAACCCATGTTAGCAACGCTTTCACACCATGAGCAGAATACCTCAAAGAAGCCACAAAAACATGTCTCTATCCCACATCAAAATTTGCAGGAACGACACCGCAAACACGAGATAACAACATAAATTAAACATTGCCAGATAGAAAAAGTTCATTACTTATCTTTTCTTTTATAATAAAAGAAAGTTTATTACTTAGTCTTCATACTGATAATCAATAATAATGTCTAATTAGTTAAAAATATCTCAACATTCATATTCTTCTTTGTTGAATCAGTCAAAAGAAACTAACCAAAATACATGGATAAGTTAAACAAGAAAGATAATATATTTATGTTTTGTACAAAATAAGTGAAAATGACAATCAAACTTACATAAAACTTGTAAATATTCTAAATAAATACATAAACTAAAATTGAGTAGAAATTCAACATGAAACATTCTCATTCTTTAATACAAACTATCTATCTACTCTAAAAATAAAAAATAAAAAAGAATACTCAAGTAAGAGGAAAAATGAGAAGTAATAGAGAGAGGGTAAAGGTGAAACCTTTGGTAGTAGGAGTGGTTTTGGGAGGGAATGAATCAAGGGAAGATGTGTTTCGGGTCGGATCCTGAGATGGGTCAGGGGTTGTTTTGTTCTGAGATGTGGCCATTGTAAAGGGTTAGAGAGCTGAGAGTAAGAAGCTGAGTTTGGTTATATCTGATTTCAACAATGGATTGAAAAGGGGTTGCTTTTCCGTGAAGATCGAAAGCGATGGAAAGTGGAGTTTTTGCTTTTTCTTTTCTTTTGTTATTCAAAGTTTTTGCTTTTTTTTCTACCGCATTTCTTTCACGTTTGTGAAAGAGAATAGCAATTGTGATGTTTTCAACATTGTCTTTGCTAATAGCAGCCAATAGTGCAGTAATATCTTCTAAATGTTAATCCTTCCGTTTTAAAATTATTTAAAATGAGTATCATTTAACATATTAAAGAATACAATGTATTACTAGACATTTCACTTTTATTAAATTAAATTTATTAATTTATTGGAAGTAGTATACATAGTAATAATTATAAGACACAATTCAAAAAATTATTATTATTACTACATTGAAAAATGTGAATGATATTTATTTCGAAACAAATTTTTTCTTTAAAACGACGCTCATTTTAAAATAGAGAGAGTATAATACTAAGCAATAATTATTCGTGCTTCCCACAAATAATTTATATTTAAATAAATACAATTTTAAAATGAGTGATCTAATTATAAATAAACAATAATTATATAAAAGAAGATTCGTGAGATGGAAGAAAAAAATAAAATTTTAATATTTAAAAATAAAAGTGGTCTCTCAATTAAGCATTGGTAATGGGGTAGGGGCGGGGGCGGGTTTAGTTAACTCTGCATCCGCATCTGTCTCCCTGATACAGTACCATAAGAGAGAGAAAAGAAGAAAGATGAAAATCTCATATATTGATCTTAGATAGAAAGAGTACAAAGGCATGGTATATAAAGTAGCCTTAGATCTAACTAACTGTACAGCTGGCATATAGCTGTAACAGATCAATGACACGTTGCATAACAACTACTCTCTATTAGTCCCCCTTAGAAACTGAGGGTGTGTTTAATAAACTAAGTTTATTGAACACTCGCAGTTTATCATGCAGAGGTAAAAACTTGATGGCTGAGAGAGGTTTGGTCAACAAATCTGCCCACTGATCTTGGGCAGGAACATGCTCCACAATTAGGCTCTTGGAGATCACTTTCTCCCTTACAAAAAATATATCCAGTTCCATATGTTTTGTCCTGTTGTGCAAGACAGGATTGTGTGCAAGTGTCACAGTGCTGAGGTTATCACACAGTAGTTTAGGAGTAACAAATCTGCAGTGAAGTTCCTGCAGTAAAGACTGAACCCAGATTATTTCAGAAGCTAACTGTGCCATACTCCTGTACTCAGCTTCAGCACTGGACCTTGCCACCAGCTGCTGTTTCTTGGACCACCAAGAGATGAGATTAGGACCTAGAAACAAGCAAGCTCCTGATGTTGACCTTCTGTCATCAGGGTCTGATGCCCAGTCAGCATCACAGAAACCAAGTAATGACAGAGGTTTGTGAGGTGCTGCAGGCTGAATCAGTAAACCATAGTGCAGAGTCCCACTGAGGTATCTCAGTATCCTTTTAACTGCTTTCCAATGCTCTTCCAAAGGATTTGACAGAAATTGGCACACCTTATTGACAGAAAAGGAGATCTCTGGCCGAGTGAGGGTAGCATACTGAAGGGCACCCACCACAGACCTGAACTGGGTGGAATCAGAGACAGGTTCAGAACCAAACCTAGAGAGTTTACTGGTAGAGACCATAGGCGTGGGCATGCCATTGGCATTGATCATATTAACTTTGGCTAGCAAATCTGTCAAGTATTTGGCTTAGGATAGAAGCAAGGAGCCATTGTGCAGATGAGTGACTTCTATGCCAAGAAAATAATCCAAATTGCCAAGCTGTTTAAGTGAGAAATCAGAATTTAGCTGGGTGATTAGACCACTGATGAAGGAAGAAGAATTACCAGTGATGATTATATCATCAACATACACCAACACCATAATACTTAGACTGTCAGTATGGAGAATAAAAAGGCTAGGATCACACTTGCTAGCATGAAAACCATGACTTAGGAGAGAGCCCTTGAGTTTATCAAACCAGGCTCTAGGAGCCTGCTTAAGACCATAAATGGCTTTGTTTAATTTGCACACCAAAGTCTTGTCTGCAGCTTCAAAGCCAGGAGGCTGCTGCATGTAAACTTCCTCTACAAGTGTGCCATTTAAAAAGGCATTGTTCACATCAATTTGCTGTATATACCACCCATGAGTCACAGCAAGAGTGAGTACAATCCTGATAGTTATAGGCTTTACCACAGGAGAAAATGTCTCTGTAAAATCACTGCCAGCCTGCTGATGAAACCCTTTGGCCACTAATTTGGCCTTGTATTTGTTGATGGTTCCATCAGGGTTCTCCTTGACCCTAAATACCCACTTGCAGCCAATTGGCTTCCTAGAATCAGGTGGAGACACCAAGTTCCAGGTCTGATTCTTTAACAGTGCAGTATACTCATCTTTCATAGCCTGAAGCCAATGAGGAGAGGCCAAGGCTTGTCCAACAGAATTAGGTTCCATATGAGTAAGTAAGAGGGTAGGTTTAAGTCTAGGTTTAGTAATACCACTTTTAGACCTTGTTTGCATGGAGTGAATATTGTGAGGATGAATGGAAGGGTTAGGCAGAAGAGGTACAGTATTGATGAAGGACTCAGAGGCAGGAGAAGAAGGGGAAATAGTGGGAGCCTCTGCAATATCAGACTGCAGAGGAGTGACAGACAAAGAATTGACAGGTGTAGTAGGAATGGGAGAAGAAGTAGCAGATTCTGCAGTTACTGAAGGTGAACCAGAGATAGGAGAAATAGCAGAGTTGGTAGGAGTAGGACTGAAATTGCTAAGTTCAGCAGAAGGTGTATGAGAGGGTGGAGTGGGAACAAAAGGAACATGAGTGATAGGCACAGCAGAAACAGCCCTAGTGACAGAGTTAGACACATTAGGAACAAGAGGTAAAGACCAATAAGAAGGAGTAGAAGGGAGTGAAGAAGATTGATCAAAGGCAGGAGATGGAAAAAGAGTAGGATAGGGAAATTTAGACTCATTGAAAATGACATCTCTAGAGACATAAATCTTGCCAGTGGCAGATAGGCACTTGTAGCCCTTGTGAATGGTAGAATAACCAAGAAAAACACACTCTTGGGACCTAAAGTCCAATTTGTGAGAGTTGTAAGGGCGAAGAAAGGGAAAACAGGCACAACCAAAAACTCTTAAGTGAGCATAATCAGGAAACTTGTGAAACAGTTTGAAATAGGGAGTTTTATGATCAAGAGACGCACTAGGAAGTCTGTTTATGAGATAAGTGGTTGTGATAAAGGCATGATCCCACATTTGAAGGGGCAAGGTAGAGTGAGCAAGCAAGGCTAAGCATGTTTCAACTATGTGTCTATGCTTGCGCTCAACAATGCCATTCTGATGGTGGGAATGGGGACAAGTGAAACGATGCACAATGCCAAGGTCATTGAGATATTTGGTGAGAGGTCTAAACTCACCACCTCCATCAGTTTGAACAACTTTGATTTTATGGTTGAACTGAAGTTCCACCATAGTTTTGAACTGAACAAACTGAGAGAAGGTATCAGACTTTAGCCTAAGAGGAAAGATCCAAGTGAACCTAGAAAAGGCATCTACACAAGTGAGAAAGTAGGTATAGGCACCTGAAGATTTAATAGGTGCAGGACCCCATAAATCACAAACCACTAATTCAAAAGGATGATTATAAACAGTAGTGGAGAGAGAAGTAGGAAGTCTGTGAGATTTGCCTAAGGAACAAGCAGAACAAAACTCTGCTGCAGACTTAGAAGAGAGAGAAATGCAGCAAGTTTTGAGCACTTCAGCAAGAACTTGATGATGGGGATGACCCAACCTGGTATGCCACAAAGCATACTTACTGAGAGTAGGAACAGACTTAGCAATAGACTAAACAATAGGCAAATTAACAGCAGAAACATCATTTTTATTCATAGAAAATGAAGGATTACAATCAGTAATAGTATGACTAATATCATTGGAATGAGAGACAGTATTACATGAAGCCCTAGAATTACAATTATTGAAATCTAAAGCTGAGCTAGAATGGAGACTAGACAAAGGCTTTAACACTTGAGAGGAAGGAATATGAAACTTGTAAAGACCATCATCTCCAACAATACCATGAAGAAGCACCTCAGAAGAACCCTGAGATTTGACAAGACAAAAAGAAGGATGAAATTCAAAGAAAACTTTGTTATCTTGTGCAAATTTACTTACACTAATGAGGTTTTTGGTGATGTGAGGAACAAGAAGTAAGTTGTGAAGTATGAGAGGTGTGTAAGACAGATGAGAGGAGGGAAATTTCATGGAACCTATAGAGTTAATGGACAAACCTTGGCCGTTTCCCATGAAGACTTGTTCAGAACCAGTCACAGATTGAGCATCAGGCACGTTGGAAGAGTCAGGTGTAACATGGTGTGAGGCACCTGAGTCAGGATACCACCATTGGTTGCTGAAGTTGGGATCAGAACTAGCCACAAAGGCTTGAGGCGGAGAAGGTCGTGGTGCAGCTGGTCTCGGTGAGGAATAACCAAAGACAGGAGCATACACAGGACGAGCATTCGCCAGAAATGGATTGAAGGGAGCTTGTTGCGGCGGAAACAGCTTTGGAGAGGACTGAGTGTACCTGTAGTAGCAAACAGAGGCATCGTGTCCACTTTTGTGACAGATTTGACACTGAGTTTTGCCAAAACGACCGCCGTGACGACCAAAACGACCGCCACCACGCCCTGAACGACCTCCTCTGTTGTAACCACTGCTTTCTGCGTGAGCATTAACGTGACTAGTACCAGTTGGAAAGCAGTCAGAAGCTTGCAAAACAGAGTCAACCGGAGAAGAAGATTCAGACGGCGGAACCTGCGTTAGATTTACAGAAGCAGGATCAGTGAGAAGCGCTTTCCTGTGTTTCTCCAATCGAGATTCATGAGCAAGAAGACTGGATTCAAGATCCTCCAACGTACTGAGATCTTCCTTACTATTGGCAGCAGCAACAAT